TGTCTTCTTACATCTAATATATACATTACAAACTCAGGCTTTCCAAAGCTTAAAATCCTGTTTCTATCTTGAGGCTACTCTATCAAACTGTACATTCTTTTTATAATTCGAAGATATGAAAAATATAACACATACATTCCTTCTTTCATCTTTAAGATTCCTACCTCCTTTCTCACTGTCGTAGTGTGAAGCATCAAACTGAGCATCATCGTTAGGGAGCTGCACACTGGCTATCACAAGGTGGTTTTGTTCATCTGATGTGTGTGTTCCCAGGACAAGTCGATGAATGCTGAAATCTTTCCCTTCCGGTCTGTAATAGCAAATACACACACATACACATACACACATACATACATACATACATACATACACACACACACACAGTCAGTATTCAATTAATAATACTAAGAGAGACTACAAACTCAGTGATATACATATACACAAAGGGCATTATTAAAATCAGGTTTTGAGAAGAGAAACTCATTAAGAGCCACATTTTGTACTTTGAAATAACTTTCATAAAGCCTAGCATAAGGAGGACTACACGGCACTTAATTTTGTAAGTACAAAAAATCTTCACTTTATGCCATCGATAAGTTCTGCGACTTCAAGCAAAACGATGCGTAACAAAACCAATTTTACCATGGGTTGATATAAACAAGAGTTAAGTTTCTATGGCATCTCATCAACTTTCTAATAATGAAACAGTATCTGAAGACCTGCTGTATTTCTTAACTTGACCAAAAACTTACAATTACTTTGGGGAAAAAGTCTAATGTGAATAACTATTCATCCTTTATAATGGGTTGGATGGAAAGAAAAAAATTATTGGGTACGCTAATACTTCAGGTTACTTCATTATGAGAATTTCGTTAAAAGAAAAAGGAACGGGAAACTAATTGTTCAAATATTTACTAAGTGACTAATCAATGGACACATTGCTTCAAATACTATGGAAGTACGAAGATGATTAAACATGATTCCTGTCTTTACAAAACCAGGGGAATTAGGCATACATATACACAAATGATTAAAATACAAGTCAATATACACTACAGGAAAGACACACAAGAATATGGGAGTTTAAATTAAAAAATTACTTCTGGAATGAAGAATGTGTTCACAGACGAGGGTGATACCTGAGCAGGTCTGAAAATGAGAATGAAACCTGGGAGTGGGACACAGGCTTTGGAAGATGGTAGGTATTCCAAGGAAAGGGAACTGAGCAAAGGGGAAGGTCTACAAAGTGCCAGGCACCATGTCGGGCACTTCACATACCTTATATCATTTAAACACTGTGAAGTATTATTCCAACTAAAGATGAAGATACTTATGCTTTAGGAAAATTAAGCAACTGGCTGAAGATCACACAACTACTAAGTAACAGAAGAAGTAGGACTGAAGTCCAAATCTGACTTTGGATATGGGAAAACACAGTGGGAGAAAAGGTTACAAAGCCAATGAAAATGAGACTCTAAAAGAAAATTGGGATGGGACCTACATGTAAATAATATATTCAGTTTGGAACATGTCATGTTTGGGAAGCCAATTAAGATACTCCAGAGGACATCAGTAGGCAGCTGAAAATTCAGGAAGAGCCTAGAAGTTGGGTCTAACACAGAACCGACAGGAATTCCTATGCATAGAGGTGAGAGGCACCTATACCTTAAATAGAAAAAGTAGAGGAAAGACAAGAGGGCTGTCAACATTAAAACTGGGAATTTCTGTATTTAGAAAGTTAAAGAACCAAAAAAAACCCCAAACAAACAAACAAACAAAAAAAAAACAGTTAAAGAACTAGAGGAAGTGAGGGAAGGTAGAAGAATGTTGTACAACAGCAATTTTTTAAAAAGGGATATGAATAAACACAAAAAAGGGGAACACATACACAAATAATTAAACACTTGGTATTAGAGATGCTTATCAGTAATCCTCATCCTAAAAACAAAAACAACAACACTGTTATGAGAATAAAAAAAAAAAAGGAAAAAGGCAGGTATTTGGGTCAATATCAAACATTACAGAAAGATTTACTTACCTAGATCTGCTAAAATAGAAAGTTAATAAAATTATAGCACAAATTTTAGACTTGGGGAATTTAGTTTAATTCACTGCTTTCCAAACTCAGCTAATCACTACATTATATAGGGAACTTTTCAAACATATGGGTTCCAGAATAATTTCGTAGGTATGGGGTGGTCATTATTCAGGACCCACTGGTCCAAAATAATTTAGCACATGACTGGTAAATCTGCAATCATCAACTATTTCTCATCAAGTACTGTGCCACAAGTTCCTAAATGGTTTGAATTACCATTGAGAACTCCTGACAGAAATGACCCTTATCCTGAACTCAAGTAATTCTGATGATCAGTTGAATATGATAACTTCTGGTCGTGATAAAGTATCCAACTCTAAATTTCTAGTTTTGCAAGTGTCCTGACTTCTAAAGACCTGAGTTTGAAGCAATTCATTATTTACTACACATAAAATGTAACTTTTAAATGTTTTTCTGAATAGCAAAAGTTTTATAATAGGAAATCCATTATTCCAACAGGAACACTGGTTTTGCTAAAACTTTATATATAAATTCACCTTCACCTTTGCATTGTCACTTCCACATGGCAGCCTTTCTGAGGGTCTCTCTCATTTTTTTTTTTAGCTGAGCCATCCTGCTACCTGTTGGCAGCTCAGCGGCTGCTCAGCTCGGGCTGGACTTGAACCGCTGTTGCTCAGAGCTCAAACTCTTGAGCGAGCTCTTAACCAACTGAGCCACTCGGCCAGCCCTGGCAGCCTTTCCTAATATCCCAAGTTGAGGTAATTTTTCCTTCCCCATATCATTTAATTTTTGCCACTCTTATGATAATGTTTCACTGTTATAGCTTATACATATGAAGTCAAGGCAGGTTAGGTGTCTTACCTAAATTTGTACGCTCTAATATGTAGCTCCTAGTAGACTAAATATTTTATCCCCTCCATTAGAGGTAAGCTACCCGTGCTCAAGAAATACGTCACTCTATTCTCACCATGCATAATTCCCTCATATGAAAAAAAATCCCTCCTTCAGGTGTTAGTTCTAAGCATCCTAAACATCTCTCTCAAACCACTCTAAGCACATGGAGCTATAATTATTAGTTTATACTGGCTTCTTCAACTAGATTGTGCTTAAAGACAGGTACCATGTCATATTCATCTTTGTATTAACCAGCTACAGCCAGTGACTGTGAGAGTGAAAGAGCTGTACTCATCATATTACTTTTTGAAAGCTGACAAGTTTTACACTACTCTTGGGTCCACTAGTTATAATACGGCTATTCAATTCAGTATCAGAAAAAGAAAACAGCATGTTCTTTCTTATCAGGAAAATTACAAAGTAATTTTACATTGCCTACTTTTTGACCCAGAAAAAAATGTCACCAATAGGTTTTGATCACGTGCCCCCTACGGGTGACTGGAGAGAGGAAAATAGGGAAAATCAAAGTGAGACAGCTACACTAAGACACACCAAAATAACGTTCAGGAGGTTCATATCACCTGGTTACATCTGGAAGCCACTGCGCAGTTAGGCTGGGCCACTCCAGAGCATGGGTCATCACCAAATCGTAAAGAAAAGGTGTGTTCTTTTTCCATATTTTGTACTCTTCATTGATCACACGTTCTTCTACTGCGTCATCAAAGGCTGCTAAAAAATTAAGAACAAATGAAGTTAGCGAAAACAATGGAAACCGAGTAAACACTTCCAAAGCTAACGGCACGGCTCCTGAGTCCTGATAAGGAGCAGATGTGTCTAAATCACCCCTAGGCGGAGTCACCAACACCCTCTACACCTTTGCGGGTCGGAACTAATCTCAAGTCAGGTCGGCCACACAGTCCGTTAGCTGTTCGCGCGTTAGCGCAGGGCCTCGGGGGCACGGTCCCGTACGCCTTTAGTCTACGGAACAGGCGAGGAGGCCCGAGCACCGACCCTTGGGGATAGGGATTGGTGCAGGGCGGACTGGGAGAGGAGAGGCGGGCAAACGGACAGTGAACGCGAGGGACCAAACACCCTCCCGGGCCCCCAACCGCCTGCTTCACGCCGCTGCGTCGGGCCTCCGCTCCAGATGAGCTGGTGGGCCGTTCTCTCTCCCCGCGAGGCGATTTTGTCTCACGCCTTCGATGGTGGGGACGGCACTCAGCAGAGTGGGGCCTGCCCTCACTGTTAGGCCGTGTCGAGGCCGCGGCGCAAGCCCGGTACCACCCACCTTCCTGAGACAGCCCCGGTACCCTCACCTTCCTTGTCGGCCATGGCGGGCAGGCAAGCCAGGGGGATCCCAGGGTCGAGCGTTGTGGGAGGGGAGGGGAGGCTGCGAGCGCTCGCTCTGCGCGCGCGGCCTCTATTGTTTCCTGCTGTCCCTGCGTGAGGGAGACTCACGCACCTTCGCGCCAACACTGGCCAATCGGAGCGCACCGAACGGCGAGGTGGGCGTTGAATCTGCGTTCGCAGCCTATCCAGACGCCCGGAGTCACTATCCGCGGGGCCGAGGCGCGCGCTCCCCTCCTGCCCCCACACGGCCCGAAACTGACTTCCTTGGATTGCGCGCGCGCGGCGTTGGTGGGAGTGCGCCCGCCAGGGTCACGTGAGAAGTTTGGTCCGCACCCTCCTGGGGGCAGCCATTTTCTTAGACTGCTCAGGGTACCACTTGAAAGTACTCGGATGAGAAACTTAGGATGCTTCCCTGTCTAGTTATCAACTTAGGAGCCAAGAAAAGGCCTCAATCACTCAGACTTAGAGGTGTCTAATTCAAATGTCCCTTACTCCTGGGTCCTCCAATTTATTTGTTTCCTTAATCCTTAGAACCATTGATGAAGCAAGCGCAGAAAATGGGAACTTGGCTTTTTAAGATGTGCTCCAAGCGACGAAGCCTAAAACAAAAGTCTTAAGGGATAAAGTACGTTAGCGATAATGGAGTCCTGGTCCTTTAAGGGTGCGTGCCAAGGGGCGGAGTCTAGAGCGGAAGTTATAAATCAGGGCCGAAGTCAGGCTGATGAAGGGCGGAAGTAGAGTGTTCAATGCTGCACTCATGGCGCAGGAAGGGGAAGATGTTAGAGATTACAATTTGACTGAGGAGCAGAAGGCGACCAAGGCCAAGTACCCTCCAGTCAATCGGAAGTACGAGTGTGAGTAGGTGGCTCACTTCTTTCATCTCTCCCAGGGGGGCCTTCCGGCCTCGCTGTCCACTTTTCCCCGTAGGGTGCTTCAGGCATAATCCCTTTTCTCATTGTATTATAGTTTCATTTGTACTTGTCGGGGAATGCTGAAGGAAAAAAAATCACGTTGTTGGAGATTCGAGAAACCTAGGCTTCCAGTTTTACAGTCATTTGAATTTTTTCCACATATGCCTAATCACATTTATCTTATGGGAATTCTAGTATATTCATTCTGAACATAACCGTGTTTTCAAGTGTTTGCGTTGTCACCCCTGTGTATCTCCAACAGTGGGATAGTTAGAGTGTGGCTAGGTTAGAAGACTCGGGAAGCTAAGAAGGGGACTTCTGATTTGGTGTTTTACTTGGACCTGTTAGTAAAAACACCTGGTTTTGCCATTTATTAGCTTAGTGACTTTAGGCAAATCATCTAACCTCTCTTTGCATCTTATTTCCTTCATCTGAGGAATAAATGAGATAATAAATATGAAAGTATAGTGCACACTCTTAAGTTATATATCAGCGTTAAGCTCTCATCCCAAAAGGTGGCTGTGGTTGGGGAGCAAAAATAGGACTTATTTCCTTGCTAAAAATCTTCATTTATTTCCCATTGTCCTCTATATGGATACCAACTTTATTTTTAAGCCTTTATTGGGGGATTAGGGAAGGGAAACAGTGTTGGGGTATTGGGGAAGGAGAACAGCCAAGTTGTTGTCCTTCAGTCTTAGTTGTGGAGGGCGCAGCTAGCTCAGCTCCCAAGTCCAGTCGCCATCCAGCTGCCCATCAGCAGCTGGTGGCCACTCAGCTGAAGGTGCTGTGTTCAATCTTAGTTGGTGTTCAATCCCATGTGGGAGTCGAACTGGCAACCTTGTTGTTAGGAGCACGTGCTCAGCTCTCACCAGCTGAGCCATCCTGCCACCTGTTGGCAGCTCAGTGGCAGCTCAGCTTAGGCGCAGCTCACTGGCCCATGTGGGAATCGAGCCAGCGACCCTGTTACTCAGACCTCACGCTTTTTTTTTTTTTTTTAAGATTTTTATTGGGGAATTGGGGGGGTGGGAACAGTGCTGGGGAATTGGGGGTAGGCGAACAGACAAGTTGCTGTCGTTTTGTTCTTCAATCTAGTTGTGGAGGATGTTGCTTCACTGGCCCAATTGGCACCATCATTGCGCTCTTCCCGGGTGAGGCAGATCAGTCGCCGGCTTCTGGACGGCCGCTCACTGCGGCTGCTGGCCGCTCACACTGGCTGCTGGCTACACACGGTAGCCCATGATAACCCACTGCCACAGGGACTGCAGCCTACGCCGTCGCCGGCGACTCATGGCAGCCCAGCTCCAGGTTGAGCTGTTGTTCAGCATCTTAGCTGTGGAGGGCAATGTCACTGGCCCTCATATGTGGGATCCGAACCAGGGCCCTCTGGCGTCCCAAACCAGTTCTTAACCATCACACCACTCGGCCGGCCCTCAGACCTCACGCTTTTAATCAACTGAGCCACTTGGTTGGCTCTGTCATTGTCTTTTAAAACTTTTTTTTTTAAGATTTTATTGGGGAATTGGGGGAGGGGAACAGCATTGGGGAATCGGGGAAGGGGAACAGACAAGTTGCTGTCCTTTTGTTCTTCAGTCTAGTTGTGGAGGATGTTGCTTCACTGACCCATGTTGGTATTATCATTGCGCTCTTCCTGGGCGAGACAGATCTCTCGCTGGCCATTGGATGGTCGCTCACGGCGGCTCTTGGCAGCTCTCGGGGCTGCCAGCCACTCATGCTGGCTGCCAACCACTCACGGTAGCACGGCAGCCACTGCAGCAGAGGTTGTAGCCTATGCCTTCTCCAGCGACTCACAGCAGCCCAGCTTCAGGTCGAGCTGTTGTTCACCATCTTAACTGTAGAGGGTGCAGTGTCACTGGCCCTCATGTGGGATCCGAACTGGGGCCCTCCTGCTCAGAGCTGGCGTCCCAAGCCAACTCCTAACCCACATGCCACTCGGCCGGCTGGCTGGCCGTGTGTGTGTGTGTGTGTGTGTGTGTGTGTGTGTGTGTGTGTGTGTGTGTGTGTGTGTGTTTTAATTGAAGTATAATTTACATATAGTAAAAGTGCTCAGATCTTATGTGTAAAGTCCAATGAGCTTTGATAAACATACATCTGTGTAACCAACATTTCAATCAAGCTCTAAAACATTTCTGTCATCCTAGAAATTTCCTTTTTGCTCCTTTCCGGTGAGTCCCCTATGCCCTTACCTTGAGGCAGACACTTCTGATTTCTATCACCATAGCTTAATTTTGCCTGTATAGAGTCTCATATAAATGGAATCACACAGCATAGATTCTTTTATGTCTGGTTTCTTTACTCAATATGAAAGAGGACGTTAATGTGGTGAATGGATTTTATTCAGTAACTACAGACAGGAAGGGAAAGAGCTGAGCTCTATTCTGATTTTTACAGAGGTGACTGGGCATTTTAAAGGGAATTAGGGATGGGGGGGTTCAGTAGAGACTGAGAAGTGAAAATTTACAAAAGGTTGGTCAGTATAAATTCAATTAGGCCAGCTGCTAGCTGGCAGTTAACAAAGTTAGGATTCTGTCCTCCCACAGAGACTGAGCGTCCTTCTTGATGATTACTTTTCAAAGGAATGGCTTTTGAGTCCTTGAGAAAGACACTTTTGAGCTGTAAGAGATACATATTCACAATGTAAACCCTTTTTAGTAAATGCTCTAAGGAAGGGAGGTCAAGGGCCTATGGTCAGGTGTTGGCTGGAACAAACAGTAAATTCTGTCAGTGTAGAGCTTTGTCAGGCAGGCATTGTAATGGGTGGGGGCCGAGTGTGGGGTCCTGGGAACATGGCCTTACGCAGCTAGAAGTCATGTTCAAGTTTGGACAGGTCACAGTGCAAGCGGGGTTGGATGGAGTTAAGTGCTGAGTGTTCTGTAGTTTTCACTTAACATTTTTGAGATTCATGTTAATATATTGGGTTGTTGGAAAAGTCATGACGTATTTTTTCTATGATTTTCATTGCAAAAATGTGTCATGAGTTTTCCAACAACCCAATAGTATCAGTAGTTCACGCTTTTTTATTGCTGAGTAGTATTGCATTGTATTGCTCAGTTTGTTTATCTGTTCTCTTGACTGACATTGGGGTTTTTTTGTGTGTGTTTTTTAGACTTTGGTTTTTTTTGTGGTTTTTTTTTTATTATTGGGGTTTTGGGGAAGGGGAACAGTGTTGGGGAACTGGGGAAGGGGAACAGCCAAGTTGTCCTTCAGTCTTAGTTGTGGAGGACGCAGCTTGCTCAGCTCCAAGTTTAGTCACCACCTGGTCCCCCGTAGGCAGCTCGCGGCCGCTCAGCTCAAGGTGCAGTGTTCAGTCTTAGTTGCGGTGGGCGTAACCCACCATCCCATGCAGGAGTGGAACTGGAAACGTTGTTAGGAGCACCTGCTCTCACCAGCTGAGCCATCCTGCCATCGGTTGGTAGATCAGTGGCAGCTCAGCTTGGGCGCATCCATGGCGCAGCTCACTGGCCCATGTGGGAATCAAACCGGCGACCCTGTTGCTCAGAGCTCAGGTTCTTAACCAACTGAGTCACTCGGCCGGCCCCAAGACTTAGGATTTTTCATTTGGGGGAATAAAATTGCTGTGAACATTCTTGTATTTCTTCTTGTGGACACATGCTTTCATTTCTCTAGGGTTAATACTAGTCATATTCTTTTCACTTGTTTGTCATTTCTGCTGGTCATTGAGCCCCTTAGTGCCTAAAACATATTAAGCCCTCAGTAGTATTTTTGAGTGAATTAGAGATGAGTTTGAACCTTGAGTACCACCACAAGATGAGGTGTTATGGCATAAAGTACACTGAATTGGGAGTCAGAAAATCTCAGTTCTAGTCCCAACTTTGCCTCTGACCAACAGTGTAGTCCTGAAAAGTCACACAATCTCTCTGAATTTCAGGTTTCTTCTTGTAAGTGAAGGAATTATATTAAATAAATCTCCAAGGCTTGCTTCTAGCCCAAATACTCTGTGATCTTAAGTGGGAAGAGTTGAGGAAGTCATGAGTTGATGAAAGAATAGACTCTGAAAGGTTGAGATAACAGATCCAATGGGAGCTTGCTACACTAGCAGTTGTTACTTACTAGTGTTCCTGTGAGAATATAAGGAAAAATCTCATAATACATATTGTAGAGTTTATACTCTCTAAAACTATTTTATCTGCCAAGGATATCATCGAGGAGTACTTCCAATGCAAGAAATCAACAAATAAAAACCTTGGCTCTTGTTGAAAAAAAAAACCTGTTTTATCTAGAATTTGGCTATCTGTTCATGAAAATGTGAGACGGAAATCTGAAATTTTATATCTGTGATTATGATATAGTTCCTAGAATTTTGATCCTTCATACAATGGATATTTAGAGAAGATATTGTTTTGTTGAGGAAAAGTAATGCCAGGAAATGACATTTATTTGAGAAACTATGCTGTATTAGATATATTTTAGGTCATCCAGAAGACTGCTGCCTTCCAGAAATTGTCATTCTTTTAAATATAAATCTTAGTTTTGATTTTTAAAAAAATAACCCTTAACATTAATATGGTAATATTATGTTACTATTAGTTCTTTAGCCATTTATTTAATACATATTAACAGGATAACAACTATAAATGCTTAGAAGAGATTTAAAAAAATAAAAACAGGGCTGGCCGAATGGCGCATTGGTTAAGAGCTGGCTTGGGACGCCAGCTCTGAGCAGCATGGCCCCGGTTCAGATCCCACATGGCGGCCAGTGACACTGCCCTCTACAGCTAAGATGGTGAACAACAGCTCAACCTGGTGCTGGGCCGCTATGAGTTGCCGGCGACAGCGTAGGCTGCAGCCCCTGCTGCAGTGGGCTGCCATAAGCTACGGTGTGTGGCTGGCAGCCAGTGTGAGCATTTGGCAGCCGGTGTGAGCTGCCAAAGAGCCGCTGTGAGCGGCCGTCCAGAGGCCGGCGACCAATCTGCCTCACCCGGGAAGAGCGCAATGATAATATCAACATGGGCCAGTGAAGCAACATCCTCTACAACTAGACTGAAGAACAAAACGACAGCAACTTGTCTGTTCCCCTCCCCCAATTCCCCAATAAAATCTTTAAAAATAAATAAATAAATAAATAAAAACAACCTTTAACAAAGCAATTAACTTTTGTGTAAAAGGTGTGGTCTGCCCATATTTTCTCTCTCTTCAAGGTTGATGTCCTTCATAATGAACTATAGTTCTTTTCTTGTGATTAGCAAGTCAAATTACTTACAAGTATTTTTCTCTTTCTCCCTCAGATTTGGATCATACAGCGGATGTCCAGTGAGTATAGCTGGAGTTTATGGCTTTGAAACCATGTGCTTACTTACATAGGAAAGCTGATATTTTCATCATGATGTCCCTACTTTAAAATTTCTATTTTGGTTCCTTTAGAACATGAAAATGATGGTTTAAGAGCACCTAGTTTCAGTGCCATTAAATTGATTGGTTTTGTATTTATTATATTGATTTTATTTTGACTTTGTTGTCAGGTTTTCTCTCTTGGAGTGTATTATATTACACAGGATACCAATGTTTTTCTTTAGGTTACATGCATGGGGAGATACTCTGGAGGAAGCATTCGAACAATGTGCAATGGCTATGTTTGGTTACATGACAGATACGGAGACTGTGGAGCCCCTCCAAACAATAGAAGTAGAAACCCAAGGTAACTAATTTATTCACAAGGAAGAAATTGTTATACAAATGTGCAGTATTCTACATAATTTCAGTATATTTTCATAATAAGAACAAAATTGATTATGACCCTGTTCTGCCTCTTTCAGCTTGCGTAAGAAATAAATTGCACTTTTAAATTCAAGTAACTTTTTAGAGATGAGATTATTAAACACCATACTATTATGGTTCTTTTTGATGCTGTGTAGGAGATGACATACACTCTCTTCTGTTTCACTTTTTGAATGAGTGGCTTTATAAATTCAGTGCTGATGAATTCTTCATACCCCGGGTAAGCAAGGGTTTTTCTTTTTTGCTGAGCAAATGGGTTCTTAGTTCATATTTTAAAATAGAACAAGTGAGTTAAAGTAAAACATGTGACGTAAAACCAAGCCATACAGATATGTAAGATGATACTGATTTGCAGAGATTATAATGACCATAAGCTGTTATTGGTTAAACTGAGTTTGCCTAAGCATATTCCATTTGTATTTAGATCTTATTGTATATTTGTCACTAATCAGAATTGTGTGATAAGAATGCACCTGTCTTCATCCACACTTTTTATGTCTCCCGAATTTGAGCTATATTTATGTTCACTTACGTGTTTCTTCTGTCCTATTTAAAATTTAGTAGCTCAAGGGCTGGCCGAGTGGCTCAGTTGGTTAAGAACTTGCTCAAGTGTGCGAGCTCTGAGCAACAGTGGTTCAATTCCCGGCCCTAGCTGAGTTGCTGATGAGCTGCCAACAGGTGGCAGGATGGCTCAGCTAAAGAAGAAAAAAAAAAAATTTAGCAGCTCAGTCATATTGGCCTAAGTTTAAAAATTAAAGCTTTTAGTTTTCCTTAATGTGAGAAAGGAAAAGACAGATGGAGATTGCTTGTTGTCATCAACCTGTAGAAGGGAACACCTCTCCAACACCGTTGTTATCTAGCACACATGGCCGTCCTTGCTTCCCTAATTCCTCCATGTCTCCCTTACCAGCTCCACTACATTTTCTTCCAACTGGGTCATTCTGCCTATAAAGTCCCAGTGCCTACAGTTTTTAAAAAAATAAGCCAAGAGTTCTGTCAATTATACCTCAGTGAAGCTAAAAAAACAAAAGGTTGCAAGTAATTGAAATCTTATATCATCCTCAATTTTACAGGAAAATTCTTTTGACTCATATTTTTAGATTGTACATTTTCAAGAGTACCTCCCTTGAATATGTAAAAAAAAAAAAAAAGCAGTATTCCCTTGAAATATATTTCGTTTGTTCCATCAGGTTGTTTGGAAAAGTCATGACGTATTTTTTCTATGTTTTTCGTTGCAAAAATGCGTCATAACTTTTCCAACAACCCAATATTTTAGTTTTCTTTGCAGCATAAAAGTTGTATGTTGTTATCTAGAAAGGTAATAACCTAGACATGTTTTTAGTAGATGGATTGTAATTAACCTCTTTTTTTTAATTAAAATTTTTTTTTCCTATTTAGGAAGTGAAAGTACTTAGTATTGATCAGAAAAATTTCAAATTACGGTCAGTTGGGTAAGTTTTGAAAATCTTTTAAGTAGCAAGTCATGAAAGATGTTGAGTTATACTCATCACTGAACTTAGCAGGCAGGAAGACAGAAAAAGAAAAGGCAGAGAACCAGTGGCATCCCAGTAGGGCTTTGCATGTTAAGCTGTGTGAGACACCTAGGAGCGAGAGCTCACCTCAGCTTTGGAAGACCAGAAACTTGATAGAACAGAGTTGATTTGACTTGTTAAACCTGATTTCCAATTTGTTGATTTTTTTTTTCTTAGTACAAAAAACATGTAATTGAATTGTTAGATGGCACAGATATTTGCATAAAGCATAGCTTGGCAATGAGAAACACTGATTCATCCTTTCTCATAGATCCTCACACCTGGACTCCATTCAAACCAATTACTTCTATGAATAAATTGTATTTTCCTTCCAGAGTTTGCAAACACTTGATTAGGTCACTTTGATTGGACTTGGTGTTTCCCAATAATATCTTTTAGGTTATTTCTATATAAAGCTTATCTTTTTCATTTTATGTTGAATTTTATTAGTTGTTTTTGTTGGTTTGTTTTGTTTTTTTTATAAAGTGAGGTCTTTTATTATCTCCCCCTCCTTTGTTTTTTATGGGTAAGAAAACAGGCTTGTCCAAGGGTACTTAGCTAATAAATGGTTGAACTGAATTTTAAAACTTTGTTCTTTCTACTACTCCTACTGCTGCTTCTGTGATCTTCAGCCATGTTAGTGTTGAAGAGAGAGGATACTTAGGCCAAGTTCCAGGAGAGTACCTTTCTAGGGCCTTCTATATACAGACCATTGACATTTTTTTGAAAAGTAATAAAATGCAAACCAAGTTCAGACCGTATTACAGAATCTAGTATTTTGCTTTCATGTGGTATACTTGGACAGGCTTTCTCCAATGGGAAATATTATTTAATTAGTTCTATAGCCTTGAGTACAGTGAAAATTTTGAACATGCTACTCTATTATTAGGAAGCAATATTCATTAAATAGTGTTCATTGACAATCTACCTATGCACACTATACCAGGGCACTTTTTTTAGAGCAACCATCAACCTTGTTGAAATGGCTGCATAAATCCCGCAGTAGCTGAATTTGCAGGCAATCAAACTGAAATTTATACTGGGAGTGCCAAAAAAAGGTATACACATGATTTATGCTCTTATGTTCACCTTTTGTTGTTGGTATATATTATTACACTTTTAATGTAGTTTTTCCTTTCTTAAAATGTGTGTACATTTTTTGGCACCCTTTGTAGTTTCTCACCCTCCCATCTCTTGGCTTTCTCGTACCTTAACTGCATTTGCAAAGCTTATTTTAAAATATGTCAAGAGAGAACACATTAAAGCCTATAAATCTTAATCTTGTTCTAATTTTCCTTCTCAAGGTGGGGAGAAGAATTCTCATTGTCCAAACACCCTCAGGTATGTTTTTAATCCAGCCATTAAAAACATTTTATACTTCCTTAGTGTGAAGTCAGTATAGGTGACAGTAAACTTCAGTGACTTCTAATAAATTGGTGTAAAGTGGTAAGTTTTTCTCAGATGTCTCTGACCTGTCTGGACATATTATGTTAAAACATATGATTTCACACACTGATTTGGTAGATTAGAGTCAGCACTTGGGTTCTAGGGTCAGGTTTGTTACGATTATTGTGGGACTTAAGTCCCTTTGCCTTTTCAAGCTTTGATTTCTTCCTCTGTACGGAACGTTTTGAACTAGATATTCTCTAAATTCTGCCTTCTGTGCGTCTCTATAGAGTCTGTGTTTGCCAACCTGTATGGCTTTATATTATTCAAATCTGTTGGAATAGGGGTAGGCATATTTTTCCTGTAAAGGGCCAGATAATGTTGTAAGCTTTGTGGCAGAGAGTGATGGAAGAACCACTACTCAGCTCTTCTTCTGTGTTAACGCTACAGCAGCCACAGACAATATATATATGAGTGGATGTGGCTGTGTTCCAGTAAAGCTTTATGGGCAGCATTGAAATCTGAATTTCATATCATTTTCAATTGTCATGAAATATTCTTTTAGTTTCTTTTTTTCAACCATTTAGAAATTTAACCATTCTTAGTTGGTGGGGCTGTACAAAAACAGGTGGCAGGTTGGATTTGGCCTGAGATTTGTAGTTTTCTGACCCCTGTGAAAGGTCAAGAAGACCTAAATTAGTTGGAGGTGACTGGGAAATCCTGGGTGCTTCCAATAGCTACAGTATCATTTCTTCAACCACAATATAATAAAATAAAGCCTAGTGAGGGAGCCTCTAGCGACAGAAACATAAAACAAAGAGAAACCAGTAGAGGGGGTCATGTGAATTGAAAACAAATGGAGGGCCGGCCGAGTGGCGCAATGGTTAAGAACTGGCTTGGGACGCCAGAGGCCCCCGGTTCGGATCCCACATATGAGGGCCAGTGACACTGCCCTCTACAAAAAAAAAAAAAAGGAAAACAAATGGAGATGTCAGATAATAGGCATTTGTCTATAGGATGGGGCTTGTTCAGGAGATAGATGTGTCTGGGAATATAAATTTTAGAGTCATCACTGAATAGATATTTATAGCTATGGAAATGGATAAGATTACCAAAGAGCGAGGGTAGATAAGAGAGAGTAGGACAGAGGACTGAGCCATGGGGCACTAAGTTTGGAAGAGAAGGAGCCCAGAAAGAAAAGATGGAGGAGAGCCTTGTGAGAGGGAGCAGGGGAAGTGGAGTGCCCTAGAAACTGGATAGTAATGCTCTTGATAGTAATGCTCAGAGGTCGAATAAGGTAAGGATTGAGAATTGACCATGGATTTGCTAACCAATGGAATAATGTGTGTAATATTTGGGCGGGTCCAAGAGGGAATGAGAAGTGGGAAAGTAGAGGCAGTATGTTGAGACACTTCTTTGGAAGTTTGCAGAAACGAACATATGGCTAGAATAGTATTAATAGTAGCTAGAGGGGTATGTGGCTAGTAAGGAAGGTTTTGTTTTGTCTTATTTTGCTTAGGTGCTTTTGTGGCACCATTGTATGCTACGTGGAAATATTCTAGGAAATTGGGGAAATTTTATCATGCTGGAAAGGGAGAGAATAATTTTGGAGCAAAGACCTTAAGTTGGTAAGGGGGCCATGTCGGGGAGAGAGTATTGAAAAGTGGAGAAGTCGGCCTTCTGACAGGAGCAGGGACTGGTCAGGCATTATAAGGGGAAAGGCTAATGTGATACAATAGGATGGTAGATTTAATGGGAGGGAAGATGAGTCAGTTCTTATGGATTGGTTTTGTTTTCTCTAGAAAGCACAGGTGATTAAGAGTGAGATGAGGGAGGGAGGGAGGCTTAAAGGTGAAGATGTGAAATAATTGCCTCAGAGAGTGAGACAGTGAATTCAGTGGTAAATGTAGGATTACTGGTAAGTGCTGAGTACCCTTTTGAGATTTGTGGACAGACATTTAAGGTGATAGCAGTTAGCAAGGTGTGTGCTGCCACAGGCAGAATGTTGAATTTGATTTAGGTTGTGGTTTCACCAGGTGATTATGGCAGAAGGGGAACAACAAAGGCAGCTGCCATTCAAATCCATCTGTGAAATCTTCAGATTTCTTTTGTGCTGCAGAGCTAGCAAATGCCAGTCGCCTATTTTCTGATACATTTTGTACTGCACAGAATGATTGTAGATTATTTTCTATTAGAACTAGAAGCAACTAAGAGAACATCAAATCCTGTGGTTCTAAACTAGGTAGGGTGGGGTAGGGAAAGTGTCACACATCAGAAGATGGAGAAGAACCCAACAAAGTAAAGTGAGTATTGACAGCTGGGAAGAGAATAGGCTGAGGTCCTAGGGCCCAGGTTAGACTGCAAGGAGGAAGTCTTGAGGAGGACCCCTGAGCAAACAGTAGGAAAGCTTTGTGTTCTTTGATTTAATCCATTTGATAAATGAAAAAGCTGATGCTCAGAGAGGTCAGACAAGGTTATATTCAGGTGGAAACAAAACCAAGATTAGAGTTCCATCTCCTAACTTTAGCTCAGTGCTCTTTCTACCATCCACATGTTGTTTTTACTGGGGAAGTATACACTATACCAATTTGATAGTTGTTTTATGTGAGTTTTTAGTTTTTCAAAATAATATTAAGAAGTTGACTTTCACCAGTTGTTACTAGTTAATGATTCTGATTTCAGTGTCTTTTTTTCCTATTTGTTTTTTCTCTAACCCCCACTTTAGGGAACTGAAGTCAAAGCAATAACATATTCAGCAATGCAGGTCTATAATGAAGAGAAGCCAGAAGTTTTTGTGATCATTGACATTTAAGATACCAAAAAAAGACTCCTATGAAGAACTGTTCTTTCTCTTCCTTTTGAGATGATACCATGATATAAATTCTACAATCTGATGATATATGGAGATTTGCAGAACAAATTTTTAACTTAAAGTGTGACTTTTAGAAATGGAAAATCAAGGCACATCCTTGGTCTGTGTTAACAAAATATTCAAACGTTAAAGAGTTCTTCGGGTGGCAAGCCTGGTTTCTCATTGATGAATTCCGTTTCCAATGGAATGCCTCCCCTCCAGCCTGGTCCCAAAAGGAATCATTGACGTTGGCAGCAGCCCGAGAGACTCTGAAGCTTCCACACTCTTATTGAATACAGTTTGGGGCGGAAATTACAATTTGAGAAATCCTACAAACAGGATTTTGCTTTTTCTACAAATTGGTTGACATATATTTTGTACATACTACATTAAAAGAGGTTGTACTTTACATTGCTGTGGGACAGTCATCCTGTATTCCAGCTGGTTTCCTTAGAAGAAATAATTATAGTTGAACAATTGGAAGACTTCACTAGAAAGAGCCCTGGTTTTCTATCTCACTTTTTTTTGTTTTTTTTTAAAGATTTTATTAGGGAATTGCGGGAGGGAACAGCGTTGGGGAATCGGGGAAGGGGAACAGACAAGTTGCTGTCCTTTTGTTGTTCAGTCTAGTTGTGGAGGACGTCGCTTCACTGGCTCATGTTGGTATTATCATTGCGCTCTTCCTGGGTGAGGCAGTCTCTCGCTGGCCATTGGACAGCCGCTCACGAAAGCTCACGCCTGCTGCCAGCCAGCTCCTCTAGCCTACGCCGTCGCTGGCGAAACAGCAGCCCAGCTCCAGGTTGAGTTGTTGTTCACCATCTTAGCTGTAGAGGGTGCAGCATCACTGGCCCCCATATGTGGAATCCGAACTGGGGCCCTGCTGCTCAGAGCTGGTGTCCCAATCCAATTCCTAACCAATGCGCCACTCGGCCGGCCCTCTATCTCACTTTTTGTAAAGCACTGATGTATTGAAAATTTCCTTTTTTCCCATAAAACAAATTCAGTGTCCTTACAAATGGGTCCTTTGAACATGTAATTTTATATTAAAGGCAGTATATTTATACAGTTAGAGAAGAAAATAATTGTTAAAAAATTTTAAAAATTACCTGTTTTTCATTTCTAAGGAGACAGGCCAGGAAAACAATGATCTGAACTTTTCAAAGTACCGTATTTGCCGGCGTATAAGACGATTTTTTGGCCCTGAAAAATATGCCTCCAAGTGGGGGGTCGTCTTATACGCCAGGTACACTTCAGATA